GCAAAACTCACTGATGATGCCGGCGAAACGTTTGAGAATGTATCAAGTCCACTGTCGGATGCTGGGAATCCTGACAACTACTATGGCAGACGACTTCGGACTAGGTGCGTTCTACATGGTCTCCCTGAAAATAAGACCAAATTATGACGAGGTCAACCCACTTCTGTATTCATCTTAGTTCGTTTAAGGTGAGGGACTAAGTTGAATTTTTCACAATGTAATAAGTAAGCCTAACGTTTCCATGGCAATTATGTCGTCTTGCTTGCCAAAATGTATTCTCATCCAATATGAACTACAGTTTTGACCTCGCTCAAGTCTCATCAGCACATCTATCAGGAATATAAATTAATATTTGATTTGTAAGTTGGTCTACGATTAAAAATTAAAGTGATCGCAATTCCAGCTCCTTGGTGATCCCGAGCATAAAATATTGGGGCTTAATTCTATCGACGTTTAGAAATGATCACCTGCAATGGAGTGGCTGTGGCATAGCCCCCCTGGACAATTGGCACAGAGAAGAACTGCATGAATTCGGGTAGGGGACCAAGCCGGCCGGGGCAAGCAAAATCGAATAGAGACCAGAGCTCGCGAAGATTGTTTTGAATTGGAGTTCCGGAAAGTATTAGGCGATGAGAGGTTGAAAACTGATAATAAAATTGATCATTTACAGAATAAAATAAATCACTGCTATAACATCCAAACAGATATATAAGCATTAAATTTTGATGACAATGAGGAAGGAAAAGATAAGTTTTTTTTTACATCAAGAAAGTGAATAGGAATATATATTAAGTTGACATGATATATTTTAATCAAGAAACAGGAAAAAATATGCGAATTCTTTAAATAGACGCTAAACAGATTTTGTCTGCGCTAGGCAGGTGTTGAGAATTGAATTAACCAGTTGCGCAGTAATCTATTTTTTACCAACACATTTGATATTAGTACCATCTTGATGACTCTAATACAGGCAAGGCTAGCCCAATATTGATGCTATGGTAAGACAAAACTTGAAACGAAATGTTGCTCCTATATAATACGATTTCACTCATAAG